GATAGATGGATAGATGGATGGATAGATAGATAGATAGATAGATAGATAGATAGATAGATAGATAGATAGATAATAGATAGGTAGATAGATGGAATGCTTCATAAATTTGCCGTCATTCTTGCTCAGGGGCCATGCTAATCTTCCTGTCATTCCAGTTTTAGTATATGTACTTCTGAAGTTAATTCCCTTAGCAGGGCTTAAGCTGAACCTGCTTTCTGAATCCCCTTGGCCAGTCAATTGAGTGTTAGGTCTCCACCTGAGCCAGCAATTCCAGTCTCGTAACCAAGAAGTGTTTTCTCTCAGAGACTAAAGATGTTGACACTAGAATCATGTAGGCACCAAATCAGATATCAGAGTCTCCCCCAACCACCTCCCCCTACACACACACACACACACACACACACACACCGGCAAAAAACAAAACCTTTTGACATCTTTGGCCTCTGGCAAGGATGAGGCTGCTAAGAATCCCAAGGACGTTTCTGAATTTTAGTCAAGAGATAAACTGGTTACTTTTCTTTGGTTCTTTTTAGTCTAAATTGCCTAGCTAAGTTTTACTTCCTGTTTTTCACACACACACACACACACACACACACACACACACACACACAGCATCACCCTAAAATCACTCGTACATCAGCCAGGTGAAGTGAGAATAGGACTCCTTGCCCGGTTTCTAGAAGGAAATGAAAGGAGAAGTAAAGGCAACAGTTATTAGCTCGGTGAGCCCTCGGCAGAGAACCCAGAGAAGCCAGATCACAAAACCCTTTTTAAATATCCAAGTCAAAGCCGTTATACTCTTCTGATGGGCTCACACAGCATCAATCTCTTTGGGCCCCTCATTTTCTTTGGCCTCTAAGGCTGGTCTGTAAAGCAACAACCCTATGATCTGCTTTGATAGCTCCTGGAGAGGCTTAAATCATCTTGGTATTCCTCCCATATGGGTTCAAGAGACAGAAGAGATATTTAGCCATCCTTCAATTTTTCTTTTCAAACAATAGTGGACTTGTCTCTCTTTGATATAGAGGTGCTTCTGTGAGCCCAGGGTCTGAAGTCTGATATTTAGGCTTCGTTTCCTTCCTTCTATTTTTTTTTTAAAGATTTATTTATTATGTATACAACATTCTGCCTCCATGTATGACCGCACGCCAGAAGAGGGCACTAGATCTTATTACAGATGAGTTGTGAGCCACCATGTGGTTGCTGGGAATTGAACTCAGGACCTCTGGAAGAGCAGCCAGTGCTCTTAACCACTGAGCCATCTCTCCAGCCCCTCCTTCCTTCTATTTTTTTAAAGTTTATTTATTTTTATGTACATTGATGTTTTCCCTGTACGTATGTTTATGTGAGGATATTGGGTCCCAGGAACTGGAGTTACAGACAGTTGTGAGCTGCCATGAGGGTGTTGGGATTTGAACTCGGGTCCTCTGGAAGAGCAGCAGTGATCTTAATCCCTGAGCCATCTCTCCAGCCCTGGGCATCATTCTCTCATCAAGATGCAAATCATTAATTAGAGATAGCTGTCTGAGTAACATAGAGATTTCTTTTTTGTTTTGTTTTTTGAGACTGGGTTTGATAGCCTGGAACTCACTCTGTAGACCAGGCTGGCCTTGAACTCACAGAGATCCACCTGCTTCTGCCTCCCAAGTGCTGGTATTAAAGACATGAACCACTACTGCCTGGCCACGGAGATTTCTTAAAAATATATTTTTAATTAATTATTATTGTTTCAGTAAAATAGGTAAGAATGTCCCAGCTTTCATTCCTGACTGAAGTCATTTGGATATTTTCTTTCTCTTCCTGGTCACTGAGGTAACAATGTGCTGTTAACTTTGTTCAACTTTCTAAAGAGCAAGTTTTGGTTTCACTGATTTTTATCTCTTGTTTTCTGCCTTCCATCTCTCCTCTAGCATTACTTCCTTCCTTGTACTGCTTGTGGGTGTAATCTTTCCCGAGGGTTTTATGTTTTGTTGTTTTTGAGAAAGACTCTCACCCTAGTCCAGACTGGCCTCAAGTTCCTGCGGTTACTCTGGCTAGAACCTCCCACACTGTGGGACAGGGCAAGAGTGAGCATCCTTCCTTGTTCCTTCTTTTAAGAATTGTGCAATATTTTTAACCAAAAAGGAAGAATTAAAGAAAATAGTAAGCCGGGCAGAGGTAGCACATGCCTTTAATCCCAGCACTTGAGAGGCAGAGGCAGGTGGATCTTTGTGAGTTTGAGATCTCTGGTCTGTAGAGCGAGTTCCAGGACAGGCTCCAAAGCTACAGAGAAGCCTATCTCGAAAAACCAAAAGGAAAAGAAAAAGAAAAAAAAAAGAAGAAGAAGATTGTCTGCAGGAAACGGAAACAGTGGCATACATGCCTGCAAGGGTTAAACACAGAAGGGAGTAGGAACATCACTATAGCCCGGGCAAGTCATCTTGTCTCTGACGATGACCACAGCAAGGACCGAGTAAGAAAAGAGGAGGTGGAGGAGAGGAAGGAGAAGGGAAGGATGGAAGGGAAGAGAAAAATAATTTGTAAGGATGATGGTGAAAACCAACCTTTTCTGGGGGTGGGGCAAGACAGAGTATGTAGCCCTCATTGTCCTAGAATTCTATGTGTAGACCAGGCTAGCCTCAAACTCACGGAGATCCACCTGCCTCTGCCTCCTTAGTGCTGGGATTGAAGGTGGGGGACACCACCGCCCAGCCTGCATGCACACTGAAAAGTTTTTGCACCCCCATAAACCTCTCCGCTGATGCAATAATCCAAATCCGATCAAATCAAACGGGATCAGAAAAAACCCAGGTTTAATGGATACCAACGCTCTCAGGTGGCCTTTTAGCCCCCCAAAGAGGAGCCAGGGATGGGAAGGAAGACCAGAAAACCATGCGTTTGTTCTCTGGGGGCAGATTAAATACCTGTGAGAGTAAACTTGAGCCTCTCTGGGGGGGGGGGTCACTGTTTGGCCGGCTTTCTCGGAAGTGGAGTCTGGACTGCGGCAACTCCTTGGGGAGGGGAGCCGGTGTGAGGCTTCCACCCAAAAATTCCAGACTATTAGATATATGGATGCCAGTGGCTGAGGTGAAGTTTCCACCCAAACACACATGTTTGTAAAAAGTCAGTCGGTTGTGTGAGTGTAAGCACTTGTATGTGTGCACATGTTTGTAGCTGTATCCACACCCTGGAGGCCAGAAGACGTTGCTGTCCTCTTCTGTTGCTTCCGCTTATTCTGATCTCCCTCTCCCCCTAACCTGAGGCTTGCATCTTCTTGGCTAGTTTGGAAGCCAGCAAGTCACGGGGATCCTCCTCTGGAGCTGGGGCGTTACAGCCATGAGCAGATGTCTGTTCATTACAAGGTGTTGGGTTCCAAACTCTATTCCTCAGGACTGTACAACGAATACCACTAAGACAGCTCCTAGCCTCCTGCGTACATTTTGATATTAAGAAATAGGCTGGGGGGGAGGGCTGGAGAGATGGCTCAGTGGTTAAGAGCATTGCCTGTTCTTCCAAAGGTCCTGAGTTCAATTCCCAGCAACCACATGGTGGCTCACAACCATCTGTAATAAGGTCTGGTGCCCTGTTCTGGCCTGCAGGCATACACACAGAATATAGAATATTGTATACATAACAAATAAATAAATATTTTTTTTAAAAAAAGAAAGAAATAGGCTGGGTCGGGCGGCGGTAGCACATATCTTTAATCCCAGCATTAAGGAGGCAGAAGCTGGCGAATCTCTGTGAGTTTGAGGCCAGCCTGATCTACAAAGTGAGTTCCAGGACAGCCAAAGTTACACACAGAGAAACCCTGTCTCAGTAAACAAGCAAAAACAGAAAACGAAGGAAAGAAGGGGGGGGGGATAATCTAGCCTGGCATGGTGTCAAATCTCTTTAATCTCAGCCCTTGAGAGGTGAGGCAGGTGGATCTCTATGAGTTCAAGGCCAGTCTGGTCTGCAAAGCAAGTTCCAGAATAGCTAGGGCTGTTACATGGAGAAATTCTGTCTCGAGAAACAAACAGAACAAAAACAAATAACCTGAGTGGGGGCCGCAGAGGTGACCCTGCAGTTTAGAGCACCGACTGCTCTTCCAGAGGACCCAGGTTAAATTCTCAACACATGGCAGTTCATAATCAACTCAAACTCCAGGGGAAAGGAGGGCTTCTTCTGGCTTCTGAGGGCATCAACATATGTGCTCATGCATGTGTGCGTGTGTGCCTGTGTGTGCCTGTGTGTGTCTGTGTGTGTGTGTCTGTGTGTGTGTGTGTAAACAGGAAGAGCAGAAGTTCAAGGTTCAAAGATACCCTTGATGACTTAGACTTCAAAACCAGCCCAGATACATAAGACCCTGTATCAGGAAGGGGGGCACAATTTATGGGTTTAAAGATTTATTGCCGGGCGGTGGTGGCGCACGCCTTTAATCCCAGCACTCGGGAGGCAGAGGCAGGAGGATCTCTGTGAGTTCGAGGCCAGCCTGGTCTATAAGAGCTAGCTCCAGGACAGGCTCCAAAGCTACAGAGAAACCCTGTCTCAGAAAACCAAAATAATAATAATAATAATGTATTTTTTGTCAGTTACATGTATGTAATCTATTCTGATTTTATTCACCATCTCATTACCTCCTCTCCCTGTCCCTTCCTTTCATGTCTCCTTATCTTCCCTCCTTCCTTCCTTCCTTCCTTTCTTTCTTTCTTTCTTTCTTTCTTTCTTTCTTTCTTTCTTTCTTTCTTTCTTTCTTTTTTTTGAGACAGGTTCTCACTATGTAGCCCTGGCTGGCCTGGAACTCACTATGCAAACCAGACTATCTCGGCATTCACAGAAATCCACCTACTTCTGCCTCCTAAATACTGGGATTAAAGATGTACACCACCATGCCCGGATTTTTTTGTCACCAACTGAGTTTAATTAAGGTTGTTTTCATGAGCAGGAGTGTGGAATTTACCAAGTGTGTGTATTTGTTTGATTTTTAGACTGTGTTTCACACAGTCCAGGCTGGCCTCAATTCCTGATCCGCCAGCCTCTGGCTCACAGGTGCTGGGATTATAGATGTGTATTAACATGTCTGTTCTATGTAGCGCTAGGGATCAAACCCAGAGCCTGCAGCATGTTAAGCAAGCACTCCTCCAACAACTGAATTGTTGGTTTCGTTTGCTTGCGATAGAGTCTCATTCTGTAGCCTCCATGGTTGGTCTAGAACTTTCTAAGTTGACCAGCCAAGGCTTGAATTTATTGGGATCCGCTTGCATCTGCCCCTTGAGTGCTGGGAAAGACAGGTGTGCACTACCAAGCCCAACTTTTATTTATGTTTATATATAAAACTTTTTATTTTGTATCTTAAATTCACTAGTTTTTTTGACTAAGATTTTATTCATGAAATATTTTATTTATTTATTTATCTATTTATTTATTAAAAATTTCCACCTCCTCCCTTCCTCCCATTTCCCTCCCATTCCCCCTCCCTCTCCAGTCCTAAGAGAAGTCAGGATGCCCTGCCCTGTGGGATGTCCAAGGCCCTCCGGGTTTAGGAAGGTGAGCATCCAAACAGACTAGGATCCCAAAACACCAGTACATGCATTAGAATCAAAATCCAGTGCCGGGCTGGAGAGATGGCTCAGTGGTTAAGAGCACTGTCTGCTCTTCCAGAAGTCCTGAGTTCAATTCCCAGCAACCACATGGTGGTTCACAACCATCTGTAAAGAGATCTGGCGCCCTCCTCTGGTGTGTGGGCCTACATGGAGGCAGAATAATAATAATAAATAAAATCTTTTTAAAAAAAAGTTTAAAAAAAAAACAAAAAAACAAAATCCAGTGCCATTATCATTGACTTCTCAGTCAGCCCTCATTCTCAGCCACATTCAGAGAGTCCGCCACATTCAGAGAGTCCCGTCTGATCACATGCTCGTTCAGTCCCAGTCTAGCTGGCCTTGGTGAGCTCCCATTAGATAAGCCCCACAGTCTCAGTGGGTGGGCGCACCCCTCGCGATCCTGACTTCCTTGCTCATGTGCTCCCTCCTTCTGCTCTTCATCTGGACCTTGGGAGCTCAGTCCAGTGCTCCAATGTGGGTCTCTGTCTCTATCTCCATCTATCACCAGATGAAGGTTCTATGGTGATATGCAAGATATTCATCAGTGTGGCTATGGGAGAAGGCCAGTTCAGGTACTCTCTCCTCTGCTGCCCGAGGACCTAGCTGGGGACATCCCCTTGGAGTTCTACTCAGCGGTAAAAAACAATGACATCTTGAATTTTGCATGCAAATGGATGGAAATAGAAAACACTTTACTAAGTGAGATAACCCAGACCCAAAAAGATGAATATGGTATGTACTCATTCATTAGTGGATTCTAGCCATAAACAAAGGACATTGAGCCTATAGTTCGTGATCCTAGAGAAGCTAAATAAGAAGGTGAACCCCCCAAAAAACACATATAGATGCTTCTGGAAATTGGCACTATTAGGAGGCATGGCTTTGTTGGAGTAGGTGTGGTCTTGTTAGAGGAAATGTGTCACTGCGGGGGGCGGGGGGGGGCTTTGAGGTTCCCTATGCTTAGGAAGCTGCCCAGTGTCTCAGTTCATTTCTTGTCCCTGCAAGATCTAGGACTCTCAGCTGCTCCTCCAGCACCACCTCTGTTTGTCCACTGCCATCCTCCCCTTCATGATGATAACGCACTGAACCTCTGAAACTGTAAGCGAGCCACTACAATGAAATTTTTTTAAATATTTATTTATTTATTATGTATACAATATTCTGTCTGTATGTATGTCTGCAGGCCAGAAGAGGGCACCAGACCTCATTCCAGATGGTTGTGAGCCACCATGTGGTTGCCGGGAATTGAACTCAGGACCTTTGGAAGAGCAGCAGGTGCTCTTAACCACTGAGCCATCTCTCCAGCCCAATGAAATTTTTTTTATAGGAGTCTCTGTGGTCATGGTGTCTCTTCACAAGATCACTATTAGGGAGACACATCCTTTTTTAAAGATTTATTTACTTATTTATTATGTACACAGTATTCAGCCTCCGTGTATGCCTGCAGGCCAGAAGAGGGCACCAGATCTCATTACAGATGGTTCTGAGCCACTATGTGGTAGCTGGGAATTGAACTCAAGACCTCTGGAAGAGCAAGCGGTGCTCTTAACCTCTGAGCCATCTCTCCAGTCCCCGAGACACAGATTTTATGTGTTTCATGTTGAAATCAGGAAAAGAGAAAATTAAAAGCCACTTTGAGTCTGTTGTCAGTCTGTCCGTGTGTGCGCAGTGCTGTTTAGAGGCTCCCTACCAGAGACCGCCAGTCTTCTGCTTTACCCGTCTCCAAAAGACACTGAGAACCTTTCTCATTTCATCTATAGGTCTAGGGCAAAACCTTAGGACAAGGAGACGGAAGGATGGACGGGAATCAGAAGGGGGAGAACAGATTGCCAGTATGGGGCAAAGGTGAGGACGGAGCTGGCTCCAGGAAGAATCGGTAAATATTTGTAAATACCAGAACCTTCGTTTTCTAAACCATAGCTTTCTGGCTTTCTAACGATGTGGAGAAGGTGGGATTAAGACAACACTCACTCAGATCATGAAGACACCAAAGCAAATGGAATATTTATAATGTCAACTTCTGCCAGTTTTCCCTCTCCCATAACTTTTATTTTCTCAACGTGTATTTTTTCCTAGACAAGGTCTCTCTGTATAGCCTTGGTTGTCCTAGAATTCACTCTGTAGACCCGGCTGGCCTCGAATTCACAGAGGTCTGCGTGCCTCTGCCTCCTGAGTGCTGAGATTAAAAGCCTCACTTTTAGTGGTCCTCCTGGCTGATCTCACAACTTTTAAAAAGATGTCTGAGCCGGGCAGTGGTGGCGCACGCCTTTAATCCCAGCACAGAGCAGCCTTCGAACGTCTGTAACTCTAGCTCCAGGGAACCCAACACCCTCTTCCAGCCTTCTTGGGCACTGTACACATCGTGTACTCTTACGTACACACACATAAAATAAAAACAAGCCAGGTGGTGGTGGCGCACGCCTTTAATCCCAGCACTCGGGAGGCAGAGGCAGGCGGATCGCTGTGAGTTCGAGACCAGCCTGGTCTACAAGAGCTAGTTCCAGGACAGGCTCCAAAGCTACAGAGAAACCCTGTCATGGAAACAAAACAAAATAAAGCAGGTGACCTTATTGGAGGATGAGGTCGATGCCCTCATTAAAGCACCTGGTTTTGCTGTTGAACCTTTCTGTCCCTGCTATTTGCAAAGGCCCTGGCCAATGTCAACATCTGAGGCCATATCTGCACTGTAGGGACGGATGGGCCTGTTCTAGCCGTCAGTCCTGGCCCTTCCACTGCAGTGACTACAAATATCTCCTCTCTGCACGGGACAGAGAACTAGACAAAACAGGAGAAGCCACCAAGCCTGCCCCAGTGGTCTCACTTCTCCATGACAGGACTACATGGTAATCTGGGCCTCTATAAATGGGTGGGCACAACACAGGGAGGTTTCTGAGACACAGGGACAACAGAGACCAAGGAGAAATCGCATTGCATTTCCCTTATCCTACCCTTTACTAAAAAGAACAAAAGGTTGGAGGTAGGTGATAGAGAAGGGGGCCCCCTGAGTCTTGGGCTCCCTTAAAACCATAATTTCAGTGAGTTGTTTGCATGTTTTGGGGTTCTCCCTTTCCCAGGGTACTCTGCTCCAGACGTGCATCGCGTCCGAATCATCGTGATGCCAATCCCGCTGCTCTGCTGGCTCCTGCTGTGTCCCGCGGATGCCAGGCCACACCCAGAGCCAACCGGTCCCTCTACAATGCTCTCTCCCTCGGCGTCCTCACACCCCTTGTCCTGCAGGGCTCTACTCCCAAAGTCCCTGCCTGGCTTCTCTCATCTCCCGCCTCTCCCCCAGTTCCTGGTCGGCCTGGCTCTGAGAAACGCTCTGGAGGAAGCTGGCTGCCAGGCTGATGTCTGGGCTCTGCAGCTTCAGCTGTACCGACTGGGAGGTGTGGAGGCTACCCAGACCCTCATCCACCATCTTCAAGAGCTCCAGAAAGGTGGACACGCGGACCGGCAAGTGTCAATGGACGCCCTGACCTCCGCTCTGCAGCGCTCAGCCTGGGAGCAGCCATGTCCAAACAGGGTCCGTCGCTGGCTTTCTTACTCCGACTGTGACAACGAGGAGGAGCAGAGCGTGCACGACGTGGTCGAGCAGCTGCCGGCAGTGGGGGCCTACTACAATCTAGGCACAGCTTTGTATTATGCCTTCCAGAGTTGCTCTGACAAGGCCAAGGAGCGAGGCAAAGATGGGGCCATAGATCTGGGGTATGACCTTCTGATGGCCATGGCGGGTCTGTCAACGGGGCCAGCTGGGGTGGTCATCAGTGCTGCTCTTAAGCCAGCAATGAAGGCTGGGGTTCAGCAGATGATCCAATATTATTATGGTGAGAAAGAGGTGAGCGTCCCTTAGCCAGAGACCAGGAAGGATGGACCCTCACACGACCTGGAGGAAACAGCCGTGGCCAGTTTTGTGTCAGAAGCTGAAAGTCCATCTTCCTACTGGGGGCCAACCTTAGTCAAGAATTATGGTGTCTTAGCATACGAGAGATCGTAGTAGAGCAAATTCTGGCAAGAGAAGGATGGATGGATGGGTGTGGGGTCCTGTCATCACTTGCCGGTCATTTCTTTCTTGAAACTCAGCTTTTACATTCCTAATGAGGGACTAGTGAGTTTTCACCTGAGCAAGTGGTTTTAGAAATAATTAAAAACTGATAGCCTGAATTTATAGTATGTATGATTATATCCTCAAAAATACTTACCTCGGCTCTTCCCTCCCTATCCTAAAGTGTCGAAATGCAAGTCCCACCCCTTCTATGGAGTCCTGGGCGCCTCTGCAGGCTATGGTTTCGTTTCCTTTCCCTGGCGGTGCTGATTCAGAAAAATCAGCTGCTTGAATTCTTGGGTACGACACTAACTGGGCTCCGCCCGTCTCGGTCGAGGGGCGGGCGGTGAGGGGAGCCTCTCCGCCAGTCACTGAAGTCGGCGGTGAGGTTCCGAGCGGCTTGTCCAGCCTGGAAGAGGGCGGGGTTTTGGCTCCACCAATGAGGCACGTGGGGAGGGCGTGGCTGAGCTCGGGTCGCCTCGGAGAGCCCGGAACCGCAGGTGTGCAGCGCCGGTGACCCGTTCCGCCGCTCACGATCTCGGTCCCCCGGAGTCGGGGGCGGGGTGGAAACGGTTCTTGAGCCGCCCGGAGGATTGCAGCTTGCCGCGGGAGCCACTGGGAGGAGCGGCCCTGGACCCTCAGAAGGTACAGGCCCCGAGAGGTGTGCGGAGCAGGGAGGCGCGAGTTCGTTCCTGAGACGGGCTGCTGCCCCCCCCCCCCCCCCCCCCCGGTAATGCCCCTGCGGAGAAGGCTTCTGTTCTCTGGCAGAAGCTGAAGCTCTGGTGTGTCCAGGATGTCACACCCCCCGCTTAACTCTACTTCTCAACCCTGTCGACTTCCTTCCAAAACTCCTCAGCAACTCCTGAAGCCTGGCATGTAGCATTTGTTCCTTGTCATAAGCCAAAGCTTTAACCTCTGCTCTGCGTTACCTATCGATCCGTTTGTTTGTTATTTAATTTGTAAGGGTGTTTTGTCTGTGTACCACATGCATGCAGTTATTGTGTTGGTCAGAAGAGGTCGTCAGATCTGAGACTGGAGTGGTGGCCATGTGGGTGCTGAGAATCGAACCCAGGGTTCTCTGGAAGAGCACCCAGTGCTCTTAACCGCTGAACCATCATCTTTCCAGCCCCTTTGCATAATTTTTGATCCTTACTTAACTAAATAAACAAATAAAAACACAGGCATTCTTATTTATGTGTGTATATATGCACATATATAAACAAACAATATGCATATATGTTTTAGATATGTAAGTATAAGGTCCTGGAAGGTGAAACTGTTTATAAACACAAAGTCTAATTTATTTTAGAAAATCTTACTTAGTGCAAAACTGGTGTTTGAGAGAGTTTTGATGCCGCCCCTATAACTGCAGTAGATGACTTTCTTGTTCGAGGCAGGGTTTCTCTGTGCAGCCCTGCCTGTCCTGAAACTTTCTATACAGAACAGGCTGGGCCTCTGCCTCCCAAGCGCTGGGATTCATGGTGTGCACCACCATGCCCAGCAACTCCTCAACTCCTTCCTTCCTTCCTTCCTTCCTTCCTTCCTTCCTTCCTTCCTTCCCTCCCTCCCTCCCTCCCTCCCTCCCTCCCTCCCTCCCTCTCTCTCTCTCTCTCATCCACCCTCCCTTCCTTCTTTCTTTCTATGCTGTGTATCTTTTATATGATGTATCTTTTTAAACAAATAATCTGTTTATTTTTACTTTATTTGTATTGGTGTTTTGCCTGCATGTATGTCTGTGTGAGGTTGTCAGATCTTAGAGTTACAGACTGTTGTGAGCTGCCATGTAAGTGCTAGGGCTTGAACCCGGGTCCTCTGGGACAGCAGGCAGTGCCAACTCTCTAGTCCCTACACCATGTGCCTTGATCCCTTTCATTTCCCCTTCCCTTAGCATCCACCCTCTGCCCCAGCACTCCCAATAAAACAAAATTTAAGAGAAGAAAGGGAAAAGCAAAAAAGGTGAAGAATTTTAAATCTCATCATGGAAGCTGCGGTGTCACTCAGTAAACCCCGTTGTTCATGGATCTCTACTTGCATGTGTTTGTTGCAAAAAGCCGTCGGTCTGGTCCAGGGCCTCTGGTTTCTACTAGACTTCGATGCTGGGCCCTCGGTGGGCCTCTTCTTGGCTGTCCTTTTGTTGCCCTGTGTTGTGGGGATCATGCAGCTTTAGAACTTTTGTTTCGGTTTCTTATTTAAATCTCAGTATTCATGCATTCCCTTGCTTTGATACCAGCCCTTTAATTCCCGAAGAACTGGGATCTTGTCCTTAAAATGAAGTTCTTGTTTCATAAAAGCAATACAGGGGCTGGGGAGATGGCTCAGTGGTTAAGAGCACTGACTTTTCTTCCAGAGGTTCAATTCCCAGCACCCACATGGCAGCTCACACCTGTCTGGAACTCCAGTTTCAGGGGATCAAACACCATTATGCAAACATACAAGCAAAACACCAATGAACTTGGCGGTGGTGGCGCACGTCTTTAATCCCAGCACTTGGGAGGCAGAGTCAGGGTCTGTGAGTTCGAGGCCAGCCTGGTCTACACAGTGAGTGCCAGTACAGCCAGACCTACACAGAGAAATCTCATAATTTTAAAACAAAACAAAAACAGAAAAGCAACACAGTATATAGTTTTAAGGAATCAAATACCAGCTGAGATTTAGCTCAGCTAGAGCATTCCCAGGGCACAGAAAGCTCCTGTGTTTGAGCTCCAGCAAGGGTTGGGATCAAGGATTATTAGTAGTAAGCTAAAATGAAAAATTGGCTCTGTGGGGTGGAGAGATGGCTCGGTGGTTAAGAGAGCTCGCTGCTCTTGCAGAGGACTGGGGTTTGGTTCTCAGCAACCAAACCTGGAGACTCAGTACACCCTGAAGCTCAAACTCCAGAGAATCTAAAGCCCTGGTCCATTCCACCCCAGCTCTGCACACCATAAATACTTTTTTGTTTTTTTGTTTTTAAGAAAAATTTGATTTCCTGCCCAATCTCTTCCCTTCTCCATTCTACTCTTAGAGGAAGAAAGACAGTCACGGACTCTAGATGTTTTTGTTTGCTCTGTAGTAGAGTCGTGTGACTTCGAAGAACATGCATGTGCTTGTTTCTCCTGATCTTCCAGGCTTCAGGTCCAATAAAAGGTTTTTTCTTTAAATTTATTCTCTCATACAATATATCCCAACTGTAGCCTCCCTTTCCTTCCCTCCTCCCATCCGTCTCCAACCCTCTCCCCCACATCCTCTGCTCCTCTGTTTCCCTTCAGAAAAGAGCAGGCCTTCCAGTACACTGAGCACTGCATAACAAGATGCAAAAGACTAGCCACGAACCCTCATGTTAAGGCTGGCTGAGGCAACCTAGTAGAGACAAGCCAGTAGGCGGAAAAGGGTCCCAAGAGCAGGCAAGAGTCAGAGCTCCCTCCACTCCGACTGCTAGGAGTCCCACAAAAACCCCAAGCTAAGCAACCACAGCTTGTATGCAGAGGACTTAGCGCAGACCCTTGCAGGCTCCATGATTGCCTCTTGAGTCTCTGTGAGCCCCTGTGACTCCCTGTTTAGTTCATTCTGTGGGCCTATCCTTACAATCCTCTCTTCCCCTCTTCTTCAGGGTTTCCTGAGCTCCGACTGAAAAAGAAAATCAACAAAATGATTCCTAGTGATATTCTGTTATACTCATAGCTGTTTGTCATCAGAGAGGCCTCCTCAGGCAGCTGAGGGGAGCAGATGAATTCCCATAATAGATAAGAGATGGCAATGGGAAGGGAAAATGTGCCAAAATGCACACGGCACCGCCTGCTTCGTGTGTGTGTGGGGGGACAGTTTTGTGTGAAATTTCTGGGTCTTTCCAAATTTGGCAGTTCTCCCAAAGACGAGGGATTGACAGCGTCATAAAAATGCTCCAGTCTTAGAGATTGAATGACTGGCACTTAAGACACCTTAAACAGAGGTCCTTTCGTAGGTGGTGGGCAGTTGGTAAGACGTGTTTCCTTCGCTGACCCTAAATAAAACTCCAGGGCCAGCAAAAGTCATGAGTACTCAAGACCAACATTGATCTTTATTGCTTCTCCTTCATTCCTGAATAAACAAACACAAACTCACAAAGGTCATGCAAATTAAGTGGATGAGCTAGATGGCATTAGATTGTGGGAATATTATTTGTTAGGTTGGATAATGTGTACGTAAGCAACCCTCTCTTTTTTAAATATTTATTTATTTATTATGTATACAATATTCTGTCTGCGTGTATGCCTACAGGCCAGAAGAGGGCACCAGATCTCATTACAGATGGTTGTGAGCCACCATGTGGTTGCTGGGAATTGAACTCAGGACCTTTGGAAGAGCAGGCAATGCCCTTAACCTCTGAGCCATCTCTCCAGCCCCCTCTCTCTCTATTTTTTTTGAGGCAGAATTTCATGTAGTCCAGTGTAGGTAGAGTTTTTCTGTCCCGCCAGTCAGTTCTGACCCACTAGCCGGCTCCCCAAATAGCCACACAGAGACTTGTTATTAACTATAAATGCTCGGCTGATAGCTTAGGCTTGTTATTAACTAACGCTTACATTTTAAATTCATCCATTTCTATTCCATTTCCTACAAGCTTTGTAGGAAAAGGCCTGTTTATTTATGACTTGTCACCTCATTTTGTACACATCCTCCTTCCTCTATGACTGGTGACTCCCGAGATCCCACACTTCTTCTCAGCGGCCTCCTAGTCTGGCTCTCCTGCCCAATCTCTTTCTGCCCAGCTATAGGCCAGTCAGCTCTTTATGAACCAATGGGAGCAATACATATTTATAATGTACAAAGTCGGCTCCACAGCAGTCCAGCCTGACCTAAATATACTATGTAGCTGAGCCTGCCCTCCATGCTCCTGCCTCCAGCTGTCAAGTGCTGGCATTACAGGCATGTGCCACCATGCCAGCTCTTCCTTCTACTTTTGTGTGTTTGAAGGTTACCAGTAAAGCAAAAAAGTACCACATATTGCAACTATTGAATAGTATTTCCCCGGAAAAACTGCAGCAAACTGCACTAAGAATTACATCTAGGGGGCTGGAGAGATGGCTCAGCGGTTAAGAGCATTGCCTGCTCTTCCAAAGGTCCTGAGTTCAATTCCCAGCAACCACATGGTGGCTCACAACCATCT